CTCTTTAATCTGTGTTCTGTGCATGTTTAGGAAGACTCCAGGAATTAAACTAAGGCTTAAGTATAACCTTTATGCATGTTTAATTAATGTTTAAACTCATGAAATTTAACCTGTTCTTCGTTGTTTCAGAAAGATAGTAAAGAAACTGTAGTTCTGTAACCTTGCTCCGTTATGTTGTGTTTCATTTTCAATTTAAGTTTGATGGTGTATCATTGTTTTAAAATCAATCTGGAACTGAATTAGGCCTTAAAACATGCACTAAAAGTTTACTACAAGAACTGGTACTCACAGAAATCAGAGAAGACGATGAAACGGACGAAGCTGCTAAGGGGAAAAGGGAGCAGGCTCTGAAAAACCCTTAGAGCCGGCTTCTAGAAGGTAGAGCCGGCTCTAGGATGTTGTGGAGCCGGCTCTAATGAGCCTAGAGCCGGCTCTGAAGAAAAGAAGAGCAGGCTCTTTTAATTTCTAGAGCCTGCTCTCTCTTAAACTGTCCAAAAATTACATTTTGTGGTCTGTTTGGCTGATGTTTGATTTTTTTTTAAAAATTAATTGAAAGCTATTGAAGGTTGTGACTTAAGTTTTAAGACTTATAAAAGTGTTGGGGAACATGCCTACATTCGAATAATGAGGATGGAATTAATCCGAGCTTAGATAGAAAACTGGTAGGAGGATGAATGGAAATTAAATTTCTGTTATTTACTGATTTTGGAATTTTGCTTCCTCTGCCAAATCTTAAACTGCTAATCATGTTTATGTTGTGATACAAGCTTATAGAAGTATAGTCAAATGTATGCATGGATGGAATTAACTGATCGTGTAAACGGGATATAGATTGCATCAGTTATGGTAATGGTTGGATAAGTAATTTGCATGTCTTTGTTTGTCATTTAACGGACTGTAATTTGGATTTCTTGGTTTAATACTGTTTAAATTATATTTACACAGTTGTCTAAGCATAGTAAATTCTTGGAATTAGCTATGTTTGGTTGGAAGTAAATTGATATAACAAATCAGTTAATTTTATCAATTAGTGGACTTGTTGCAAGATGTAAATGCTATGTTTTATAAATAACAAATTTAATGGTTGGAATATAATTTCTAGGCCTGGACTGAATGCCTAAGTTTTATAATTATGGATTAATTTGGTTTGTGCATAATTTGGGAGTTGGGTTGATGACTATCTAGTACTGTTTTATCAACTCTGTTAACTGGAGGATGGTATGTACCGGTATGGGACGGTGACATATTAGGTATGGACTAATTCCAACATTAAGTCCTACCTAATTTGGATCAAGGTATGGATTAATCATAAAGGTTAAGTCCATCATCTACATGTGTCATATCAGTTGTGAATTGAATGACCTACTAGGATTTCAGGATGGATTTGTTATACATATATCAGACCACTACACAGATGGATGGTATACTATATTAGGAGGAGTACGGACTTTATATATATATTATATGGTGCCGTAGAATGAGTTTGAGTCTCATGACCATGGTTAAGGCGCGTATATCGCCTAGGATGGATAACTGGACATAGGTGTTGTTCCCTGGTAGGTCTAGGTACTCATGCTCACCCTAGGGTGCGTATTCGCATGTTGCCTTCTATTCAGGCTGAGACAAACCTACTGGACTAGCGAGCGTCCTATAGTGTGTACTATATACATATATGGACTACTCTAGATATTGTTGAGTCTTCCTAGGATGTATCTGCGTATCGTATTACTGCTTGGATTGTAGTAGATTAGGGCTTGCATATGGGCCTGACCCACTTCTTTATTTTTCAGGTGCTTATCAGTTTCAGGGTTAGAGTTTGGATGTGCAGAGCAAATACAGCTATTCATTCCTCCGATTATGTTGGAATCTTCTCTATGTTAGCTTTGGATTTAATTTTTATTATTTCAATATCTTTTGGAGAATTTTAATAAGGGGTCCAATGGATGGATTCCCGAGTTGTAAACTTATGGAGTTTTGGATTTCAATATTTATATCTTAAGGATTTTCAGTTAGCACTCTTCAGCTTATTATTTTTATTTCTTATTTTATCTTGTATTCTGTGTTCGGTTACATATTAATTGTTTGACATCCCTCGGGTTTGGGCCTGGGGCTGATCAACCCGTATCTCGGATCCGAGGGGTATCACAACACCCACGGGCTAGTAACTCAAATGATGCTCGGTGTCGATTTTATTCCGGCGTGACGTCCAAGATTCCACTTGTTTGATTTCGCATTTTAAATTCTAAGTTGTTGACTTTGCGAATTTATATTTTGTTATTTGACATTTGATGTTCAATGTTGTTTAGTTGCTTATATATTGTGATTTATGATGTGGATGTTCTAATATAGTTTAGGATGATCCCTTAGTCTCACATTAGACATAGACGTTAGGTGGTATGAATCACATGGATTGATTTGTATTAACTTATAAGGACTTGCAAAACTTTAGGTTATACGCATATTCATTTTTTACGAGTAAACTTGTTTACTCACCTTCGTTGTTGGGACATTTTTCAGGTAAAGAACCTTACTTTAGGGATGCACAACATCCTTGAGCTTGTTTATGGCTTGATGAGATTGTAGTATTTCCATTCATGCGCTTACTAACATGATTTTGCTTTATTTTTGGTTAAATATGTCAAAACTTGTAACTTCTATTTCGGATATGTAATAAACACCTAAATGCATCCTCTGAGACTTATTTGACATGTAAGTGATAAGGCCAAGGGCCAAGAACCTCATGCTTTACTTTTATGCTATTTCATATTATGTTTAAAAATGAGAAAAATTAGAAAATGCGAAGCTTTAGCATGACAATTTCAGCTTGGATGGTGGGAATTGTGTTTTAATATTTTTCATAGTGTTCTTATATCATATATGATGTGTAGCCATGGGCCAAACAATTATTTGAATGCATCAATGATGGTTGACTTCAATTTTGCTTAAAATGATCATTTTTCATGATGTTGGGGCTTCGACATGTCATATTTTACATATGGTGTATTTTGAGGCCATGGGCCATTGGGACGCATTTTATTATGTATATTACACTTGCTAGAGTGATCACGTTACACAAAATATCATAGTTTTATGTTATGGTTGATGGTAGGCTTCAAATTTTCCATTTTCTTTCATTTTTGAGGTTTAATAGGTCGGATTTTGCATCGGGCATAATTGGGGGTCATGGACCATTCCCACACATTTCAAAACACTTATTATACTTGCGTACATAATCGTTTTAGTTCACAACTTCATATTTGGTCATTTGAATACTTGAAGCAAACTTGTATTTTGACATTTTTTTTTCAAAACTAATCTTAGGGGTATTTTGGAAATTTCATGTCAATTTTTTTTTTTTTTTTTCTTCCAATATAGCTAGCTTGAAAAAATTATTTTAAGGAGGATTTCTTTTTCATGTTTTTCCAAAAAAGTTTATCTTGGCCCTTAAAACAACGTTTTTCTTCAACATTTTTTGGCAGTCAGCCCCATCTAATCGATTAGATTGATCATCTAATCGATTAGATGGTCTTCCGCAGATTATCCAACTTACTGTTTTGACATCTAATCGATTAGATGGCCCTATGTTGCTCTTTTTAACATTTTTTCTTCCATTTTATCATAACTTCTTCGTCCGGACTCCAAATTGGGTAACTTTTTTTTTAACTTTATTAATTTTGCGCCATTTATCCAATGGTGTGCTCGGTAGCACCCATAATTTTTTAAAATTATGATTTTGCCCCTAGGGCTAAACTTGTCTATTTTAAAAATTTCGCTTCCGCATTTTGTTCTCTTTTAAGTTCCATAACTTCATGGGAAACTATGTTTGTGTCTTAGGGATAACGTACATCTCTTGAGACTTTGTTTGCATGTGAAATGATCATTTTGCCTTTGGGGGCATACTTGGTCTATTTTCACCGTTTTGTTTCCGTATATGTTTTCTTTTCACCGACTTTGTGTTTTATTTTTACTTCCGTATTCCGGATCTGTTATCAGGTCAACTTTCAGGTCACATTAACATATCTGGATTGTGAAAATTCGGAACGTCACATGAGTCGCAATGCCAGAGGATTGTCAGCAGTTGGTGTTTGGTAGAACGATAGGGTGTGAGCCAGCGTCAAAGTTTGGTATACTTTGTTTCAAGCATAATAGATTGGTTTACATTAGACTGTACAGTCCACGGGGTTTTTCCCATAATAGTTGACGTATTTTATCAACTGGAGTTTCCTCGCTAAAATCTTGATGTCATCTCTAACTTTATACTTTGCTTTATTTTATCTGCATAGAATTAATTGTTTAATTATTAAAATAAGTAAAGTTGGTAAAGACACAGATCTGTTTTAAAACAAACAAAACTTTCTAAGTACATTCCGCTGTATACGACTTACAATTACATGGTCCGTGACTTTCAAATAATTTCTCCATCAGTTGTGTGTGAACCAAAACCAGATGTGGACTAAAAGGAAGACAAAACAAATGGAATTGGCAGGACGGACACATGATTTATGGTTTGGAAGATTACAACACTTGCTATTTTGCAAATTAGTTCGTTTATGCTGAAATTGTTACAATTAAGATGTTACTACTCTGGTATAAACTTGGTCAATATAAGCATGTTAAACTTATTCCCAGCCAATACATATTCTTGTAGAATCAAAAGCATATGCTTAATTTAGATGCAAATGTTAATGTTTCAAATTAATTAAGACGTACATGAATCCAAATGTAGTTAGGAGTGCTGTTATCGAACTCAAATAATCTGCAACTCACCAAAACAGAGTCTTCAAAGTCAGCAATTCACCAAAAGTTGGTTCCTGACAGGAAGCATCTTCCTAGGTCCCAACCCAATCGACTCGCAATTCAAACATCAACAGGAGTCCAACCAAAAGCAACAAACGCGCGCGCGCGCGCGCACACACACACACACATATATATATATTCTGCTCAGTTCGGGAGCCACTTTTGATTTGATTTTGAGTTCGTTTCATATTATCACCATTTTTTTTTACCAACCAAACACACACACACACACACATATATATATATTCTGCTCAGTTCGGGAGCCACTTTTGATTTGATTTTGAGGTCGTTTCATATTATCACTTCTTTTTTTTTTTTTTTACCAACCAAAATATGGATTTAGAATCTTCTTCATCCAAGGTGAATGGGAAGTATGTTCATGGGCCTTCTTCATCTTCCAAACGCATGAGCAGAAGGAACAAATGCTTGTTGGTGACTTTTGCGGTAATATTGGCGGTGCTTCTTCTAATGGTGATTTTGGGACTCACCGTCTTCAAGCTCAAGAATCCCGTCACCACTGTTAACTCCATCTCTCTGAAGGATCTCCAGCTCGGGCCCACATCACAGCTGAATATGACCGTCGATGTCAATCTCTCCATTAAAAACCCTAACAAAGTCGGGTTCAAGTACACCACCAGCTCTGCCTTGTTGAAATACAGAGGCGAACTGGTCGGAGAAGGGCCGATCCCGGCTGGGGAGATATCGTCCGACCAAACCCTCTCTATGAATATCACTTTCATGGTGTTGGCGGATGAATTGCTCAACAATTCCAATGCGGATGACTTCTTCGGTCCATTGCCTCTCACCGCCTACACTCGACTTTCCGGCCAAGTTGGTATCTTGGATATAATCAAAATTCATTTAGTTTCATCTACCACCTGCGATTTGACCATTAATGTTGTGACTACAACTGTTGCCAATCAAACTTGTCACTATAAAACCAAATTATAAACTTGTCACATCTGATGATGCCGACTTATCTAGTCCTTATATGTGCGCTTGTCTTTCTCATTCTTTTTTTTCAATCGTCTGTTTTTTTTTTTTTAATGTACCGTTCTTCCCTTCATATATGACAATAAAAGGTTTCGTATCAACCCCAATTTTTTAAGTAGTGAGAAAATTCTGAATTTAAATACCTGATCTCATTCATATTCCCAAAACATTAAACTCGTAGTATTAATGTTGTGTTGGTTGTATGCAGCAGGCGTTAGCTTCTAGATTTCGGTTGCAGAGTCCTAAGGAAGAACTTTACTTGAAATATTACTATAATTTAGTGAGCCAATGTAAAAACAAGTGTTGTTAGTCATTGAAAAGCGACCAATGTTTTGATGTTTTCAACTGAATGATTGCAACAGAGTGACCGTGATTGGTGCAACCAATAAAACTTTCAACTAATGAATGATTGCAACATAGGTTGTTTTTACTCACAAACTGAGCGTTTTCACATGAACTAGGTGGTTGTTACCTTAAAGAATCCAAGTCCTTAGTCCATAGCAGGAATTGACTTTTTTTTTCTTTTCTTTTTTTCTTTTTATTTTTCTTTTTCTTCAATCGGATAGCGGTTTTTGCACTACTGTGAGTGAATTTCCTGGTACTGGCATCTTCATCCGTATAGCTCGGCCCAATAAGCAATTATCATAAAAAATTCATGTAAATTAAGGGTTTGTAGATTTATGGGATATTCATGAGGTTTCTCTTGAACCCCGACTTCTTTTTGGGAGATGAGAGAAATATCGTTAGGTCAGTGGGTTTGAGTTTTAATGAAAAATAAAGTTCAATCTTATTGACTTACTCCAAATAGTTGTGAAGATATTTCATGGAAAGAAGGAAGAGGGGAAAAGATGAGAGGTTTTGGTAGTTGAATTTAGTAAATAGGAGGGCGGTTTAGTCATCTCATTTGCTAAAAGAAAGAGATTATAGTCTAGAGGAGTTTGTTTAGAGCGCAAATACCAACTGGAGCTCTAACTAAATTTTAATTTCCTTTTTTTTGTATTAATGAAAAATAGAGCAATTAGTATTTCTTTACTCTCAAAGTGGAGGGGAGGATTGAGACAATAGTAAACCTCCTTATCCTAAACGTGGAGAAGGGGTTTGAAATAATAGTAGAACATTCTTACTCTTAAAGTGAAAGAGAGGGTTCGAGTCACCTGAACAATGTGCATGTAAGTACTTACCTAATAAAAAGAAAATATATTAAACTTGTTTCTTTGAAAGTAAAATATTTTTACGAATTTTTTCTTTTATTATTATTATTTTTTTTTTAAAGTCTAACAAAAATAACTTATTTATTAATTTTCGACAAGTTATTTTATACGTCCCTGCCGATGGACTCAACCTCAACATCGATCTAGTCTCCTAGATCCTGGCCAATCACCGAAAATAATAATAATAATATTTTATTTGAAATATATATATATATATATATTTTCGGAAGAAAATATTTTACAACATACGGAGCCTGATGCAAGTATAATTCCAATTCAATTACCTCCTACTAAACTGATTCCCATCTTGACTTGGTTTTGCTTCTTGTCTTAATTGACAATTTCTTCTTCCTCGGTGGTTGTTTTTTTATTTTTTATTTATTTATTTTTTTTTAGAAAAGTTAAGCAAAGTTGTACACACATATTTTCACCGAGGCTCAAATTCTTGACCTCCCCTTTGAAGAAGTGAATTTCTTCTTCGTATTTACTTTGGTCAATTTGTTTGATATAATTTTGGGTGTTAGGGTAGGGCTGTTAATTAATCTTGTAATCTATAAGTCTTTTTCTCTTTTTTCTTTTCTAGCCATCCAAACAATTATACATATATATTAAATTTAATTTGGGAAAGATCATACAAAGCTGGTCTGATATTAAACTGCACTAGGCCAGTTCTCCCCCATTTGTTCACAAATTAAGCGAGAAATTATTAAATGGTATGTAATCATGTTATGGTTCCGATCCTTAAAAATTTTATAATATTTCAGGAGTATGTTACTCTAGTTTTTCGGGACCACGAGATTTCAAATCATCTAATAATTTCTTTTACTAGAACTTTCAAATGGAGTGAAATTAATTTATAACTTCTGTAAGCACTTTCTGAATAGAGGTTATATATATATATAGTTTTTCTGTAACAATAGTTATCCTTAATTAGTTTGTGAGAGAGAGAGTATAAATTAAGTGGGATAGATTCAATAGAAATAAAAAGATACAGTGGTCACTACACACAACCACAAACTACATGACACGCTGCTATTGCAAACTGGAGGGTCGCTCAACTGGCAACCAATGAGGATTCAGATGCATGCCCATCCTTATTCACACACCAAGTACCTTGGATGGATCCGGTGACAGTGACTGACTTGTGCATCAACCTCAGTGCACCCTGCAACACAATAACAACAGCAACCAAAACATATAATCAGCAATTTATTAATAACACAACATATATATTAAAATATAAACCGTTAACACACTAGCCACAAACTAAAGAGTATTAATATTGGATTACCATATATAGCATGTTCAGTACTATAAAATTTTAGCTATAGATTTCTGTCCGCATTGAGTTTATTTCCATTTTCATATATACATTATTATAGTAGAGCACAAGTACTGTACTGCATTAGACGGTTCATAACACATAAACGTGTGAGTGACGCAGTATAGCACCCGTACTGTAATGCACCGGATATATATATATAGAGAGAGAGAGATGTACTTGGAGCAGTCGGTGCTGAGGCTGATCTTGTAAGGAATGTTGACACCACATTTTCCAGGGAGGCCAGAAGCGTTGGCCATATTGATACCGGGGACAGCGGTTGCAGCTGATTTCATGCATCTGCAAGCGGTCTGGCGGTCAGTTGGGGTGCTAGCAGCGTTGTAGAGGGACTTAACCCCACTGCAGCATGGGGCTGGCACCGGACCACCGCTCCTCAGGTAGCCGAGGCAAGGGGTCAGGCTTGTTACCACCGTACCACATGTCACGGCTGCCTCGGCTTGTGGTGCAGTCACCACCATGCACATGAGTACCACTACCACACAAGCCACCTTAAGCATTGCTGAGCTTGCCATTGTAGTGCTAGTGATGAGTTACTACTTTCAGAAAACAATACTTTTTAGAAAGCAAACAAGAGAGAGAGAGAAAGCTCGGCAATTGCTATATGTTTGCGTGTGATCTTTTGTGAGTAAAAAGGCTCTCGGGGGTGGTGTTTATATAGAGAAAGTGGTGGAGCATAAACTGAAGAGAATGCGTGGGCCGGTGGTGTTGGGCTTGTTAGTTGTGAGGCAAGTGGTTGAAAGTTTTTACAACAGGGCTACAAATGATGATGATCCAGACTCGAGAAAAAGACGGGTTTCACACTGAATTTTGTAGGAAAATTTTCAAACTCATGAATTCAAAAATAGACTATATGATACACGTGTATCATATACCTTTTTTTTGTGACCATGTCAGATACTAACTCCACCATATGCAAGGGGCTTAGCTTAGATTGATTTCTCTTTGGAATTGTAAGTGCCCAACAGATACAGCTACTTTCCTAGTCAAGTCAACTCATCTTTTGGCTAACGAGGAAACATCTTCCAATCAATCGCCGAACTAACAAGAAATTTCAATTGAATTTTCACATTGCTTCAACCAAAACTAGTTAATTCCTCCAAGTCGTCTGCATCCTTCATTGGTATTTTAAAATAAGAGCTTGATGCTATACTAGATTTAAACAATGATTCTCAATATATATGTAATTTATTTTGCTTAATTCAATCAAAATAAAAAATGAATTCTTAAAATAGACCACTATATTATTTAGGACTCCTGAACTTAATGTAAATGTAATTTAAAAAAAAAAAAAATTAAGACGAATATGTCATGTCTTGATTCATAGAGTCATATAAAATAAATACCATATGACTCCATATATACCTTCTAAATGAGTAAAGTACTTGAAAGGGAATAAAAAGCATTAAAAGGTGTCAGAATTAAAGTAAAAAAAATAATAAAAATTCTTCTTAGTTTTTAAAATTTTGTAATCACCAAAATTGCCGTGATCATTTTGTTGAGTAGATTACATTGCAGTCATCTTAGTGTCATTATATTGGTGAATATGTTTTAAGCATAATCAAGGAACAAAACCATTTGTAGTGTAGGTACCTCCAAGGTCGAAAAAAAGTATAAAATCTTTAATCTTAGTATTTGCTACAGATAATAAAGCATTAAATTTTTTTTTTTTTGGGCCAGAATAAAGCTTTAAATGCAAGAACATGATTACCGTACAAATTGGTGTTATATATGTGCCTTGAATACGAATTAGGAAAGTTAAAAAAGAGTATGCTATTCAGGCCTAAGTGTTCAGGGATGGATTTGGATCGTATAAGACTCAAAAAACCTGTGTACATGTGATGCTCAGTCAAGACTCGAAACACATGTGCACGTGATACTCACTCTTTGAGTCTCTGTTGAAGTCTTCCATTGAAGTCTTGTGAAGAATTGTACAAGAGAATAATTTTCTGTTGAAAAGAAGAAGAAGAAAAAGGAGATACTTTTTGGTATTCGTCCAAGTCTTTTCCTAGCATAATTGACTGAGATACCCCTCCCTTCTAATTTTCAAGGAGAATGGATGCCATATGGGTTAGGTAGGGAATCTGTAACGATGACAGCAAGTCGCTCCCTCTTTAATAATAATAATAATAATAAAAGTCGATCATTTTCTGTTACTCTTCAATAATTATCCAAATCCTCTTAATGAATTTAAGTACTTCATCTCATATTTTCTAAGTCCTGAATGTGTATTGCTTGTCCATATTCAAATCAGGCTACCGAAATAATAAAAAAAATAGTAATAATAAATAAATAAATCTCGTATTTCTCAAACTTTAAACTCATAGTATTAATGTCGTGTGGGTTGTATGAAGCATGTGTTATTGGGAAGGAAAAAGGGAGGAAGAACTTTAATTTATAAATTATAATTTAGTGAATAAATTAAAAAATAATTTCAGTTGAGAGACCATGGTCTTCCTGAGGAAGAACTTAGAACTTTAATTTAAATATTATAATTCAGTGACCGAAATCTTAAAATAACTGTTGTTGGTCATTTGAATATCAATAAAAGAGACCGATGTTTTCAGCTGAATGATTGCAACATGGTAGTCAATTGGTCATTGAGTATCAAGCAATAAAAGTGACCATTTTCAACTGAATGATTTATTTTATCAATTAGAAAATGACCGACGTGTCCTTTTCAATGTTTCCTTTCCTCTCACGGACCGAGCGTTTCCACATCAACTAGGTAGAAACATGTTTTCTCATTGAAGCCCTTTAGCCAACTGCTGCTGCGCTTCGCTTTTGTTAACTTGAATAGCAGGAATTTACTTCTTTTTATCTTCTTCTTCATCAATCTGATAGCCATTTTTACAGTGTGAATACTAAATAATATTAGATGCTACTAATAAGATCTACTAAATAAATGTATTTTTCGTTTATGTGACAAAATATAATTGATTGATAACATCGATGACATTGTATCACCGGAACAAAAAAATCTTTCTCAAGTTAAAGTGGAGGAGAAGAGTTCGAGACAATAGTATAACCACCTCCTTACTCCAAAGCGGATGAGAAGGGTTCCAGGCAATAGTATTTCTTACTCTCAAAGAAGAAGGGAGGGATTTGAGTCACGTGGACAATGAAGGAATTAAAATATTGTAATGCATTTTAATTTATGCTTGACAGTAAATATTTATGAATCTAAAACTTTCGAGTCCTTGAAGTTAAGACGTAAGAGTAATAAAAGCCCCCCAAAAAAAATGGGCTAGGTTGGACTCCAAGAGGCTGCAACAAAGTAGCCCATGAGCTGGCTCAATGGGCTGTGAATAGGGATGTTAATTTTTACCGTCCTGCCGGGGACGCACTCCGTCCCGCTCCATTAATAAAGAAAATGGAAACACTGTTTATATCGTTGGGGCGGGCATGGATACAAATTTTGTACCCATCACGGGTCACAGGACGGGTAAGGATTCAATATACATATTCTAGGGGCCCCGCCCCGCCCCGCCCTACTAAGCATATAACTATATATATATATATATATATATATATATATATAATATTAATAACTTATTTTAACGGCTTACCCAGTTATCCATCTCTTACAATCCTAATTTGGGATGTAAACTTGGTATTAAATTTGCTTTTGTTTTGGTTATGGTGAAAGTTGGAGCTTAGAACTTCTTGTGATTTGGTTGTATTAAACTTTTATTTTTATTTATTATGTTCTCTGAATTATGTTATGTGCATGTTATTTTTTTATTTTTGTTGGGATACATAATTTCATTTATATTGTGCCATTCCCAGGCTTTCCACATTTAAATAGCAGGAGCTTAAGTTCCAAAAAGTGGAAGAAAAAAAAAATTGTTAGTGGGGCGAGCACGGGGGCATAGTATTTCCCAAAGGGGCGGGGCTGGACATGAAAATCCAACCTGTCGCCGATCTCGGGGTGGGCATGGAATTGACAAAAATTAAAAGGGGCGGGGCGGGATTTAGGAAAACTCACTCCAAACCCGCCCCGTTACCATCCCTGGCTGTGAAATATCAGTGTTCCGATGATGAGGTGTGGCCCAATTGTCTCCTTCCACCCATTAAGGCAGATTTTCCTTGGTATTCCTCATGTTTTTGTCAAAATAATAATAATAATAATTAATTAATTAATTAAATATCTCTATTAGGACTTAATTAGTGAGAGAATCATTTCATTTATATTTTAGATTTTACAGCAACACTCCTACATAAAAAGGAATTTAAAATGCCTCTTTTATTCTGGGATTTTAACTCCTACTATGACTGTCATGGAAAATTCTTTGATTTCCTCCCCCTTCGTTCAAATTTCCAAGCATTTAATGCCTAATTTATCCAATTACACACCGACTTCTCAGTTTTTTTTTTGTTTTATAATAATTAATTATACCCCACCACCTACCTACAGCTGACCTGATCGAGATACAATGATATACAAGAATCAGCAAAACACATCATTATTATATCACCATCCCAACTGAAGAGAAATCAGAGAGTGTGTCTAAGCGGTGTCATTCTCAGTATCTTGTTCATGCTTTTCATTGTGCTCCTTGTATTAGCATTTACTATCTTTAAGGTTAAAGACCCCCGGACTCAGCTTCGTTCGGTGGCTGTCGACGGCATTGTGCCCCGCATCTCGTTTCCGGTCATCTGAGTTGAACTCAACATAACCCTGGACCTCAAACTCCAAGTTGATAACCCCAACCATGCCAGCTTCAAGCACGGGCCAGGCAACAGTCGGCTCACCTACAGAGGCAATGAGGTTGGGCAGGTGGACATGGAGTCCGGTTACATTCCGGCCAAGGGCTCCACGGATCTAGGGTGCCGTCTGACGCTTGACGTCAACGAGATTGCTTCGAAATGGCGCTGTTGATCAGGGACGTGTTGGCAGGGGAAGTGGTGGTGGAAACACATACTAGGATTCCTGGAAGAGTGTCATTCTTAGGAGGGCTTTTCACGAAACATGTTGTCGCAATATCGGAATGTCAAATGGCCATTGGAATTCCTGACATAACTATACGAAGAGAAGAGTGCAAGCGCAAGACCAAGTTTTGAGCTCCTCATATGTGACAGAGAGGTCGTCGATGAAATTAGTGAAATCTATCAATGTCAATTTTTTTGGTTAGAGGTTGATGTTTTGTCCGCAAGTACCTTGAAACTTCAAAGAGCCTATCCTTCCTGTCCCTAGGAAGGATAAAGTGCTCTGCAAATCCCAATTTACCAAAAGAAAAATATGATTTTTGTTTAGTCCATTTTTCATGGCTTTTGTTTCTTGTGCTTGAACTGGACTTAAATAACCATACATTACATCCTAATTGTGATTGTCATAAAATTTCTTTGCCATTTCAGGTTTACATAAGAATCCATATATTTCTTTCCAGAAATATTTATAAATCTAATTTATACTGCCCTTTATAGTTTCCTGCTCAAAGATGTTGTCTACAGTTTACATTCACAACAAACTATATTCACTAAAAAAAAATGTAAAAAAAAAGAGATTAGGGTTCAAGAAGACCTTGAAAGCTTTTACCTCTGGCACAGTAGATGAATTTCTTTTTGTACACATCAAGCTCTGATGGCCTGGACCAAAACACCCGACCTTTTACTTCTATCTGCACTCCATCTTCATCAGTTGAGGGTGAACGAAACTAGATGTGAGTAATGCTTGATGAAAACAGAGCTATTAATATTATATCAAATGACTAAATAAATAATGTAATAATCACAGAAACTATTCCCTTCCTTCAAAGTTTAAACTGCATAGGCAACCCTGATAACAGGTCCAATTTCTTCATTATATTCATGCAAATCCACCATGTTGCTCCAATCCATACACCCCATCAAACACAGTATGATCCACATCATGAATTGCTAGTCATACAAAACCAACCAAACAGCGGAAAACAAAAGGAATTAAGGAAAACAAAATAACAAGAAAGACAGAATTCATTGATTTGCGAGAACAGGTACACAATTTATCGTTTAAAAGATTACAACACTTGCTATTTTGCAAATTGTTCATGCTAAAGTTACTACAAAATGTTAATACTTTCTTATAAACTTGGTCAGAACAAGCATGTTACACCTGTTCCAGCCAAGACATATCCTTGCAGAATCACAAGCATATGCTTAATTCGGAGGCAAACATGTTAATGTTTCAAATAAATTGAGATGTACATGAATCAAAATGTAGTTAGCAGTGCTGTTATCGAACTCAAATTCTCTGCAACTCACCCAAAAAGTCCTTCAACGTCAATCTCTAAACTTCAGGCATTGCCCACGATCAAAATTCAAGCTTTCTGCACAAACCCTGGTCAATGTTCCTTGATTTCCTTGTGGGCTTCATAGGAGCGCCAGGGCAGGTGTCAGCAACTCCACTGAAGCGAGGTGCAGAAGGGGGCGTCTTAAAACCATCAGAGACTGAATCCAGAGCTGAAATTTCAGCAAAAAGTTCTTCTATTTGCTTTGAAACAATCTCTTTTAAAAGGGTTCTATAAACTGCTTCCACTAACGTCTCTTCATCCGAGATATGTTCTGCATCATTACCATGATTTTCATCCCCAACGAATTTAACAGAAGAACCGAAATTAAGCTGCCTTGCTACACTGCTTCGTGTCTCTTCCAGATATTTATTGGACTGGGGAGCTAACATGAGCTTGTCTGGGCCAGGAGCAAATGGGTCAAACACATCCTCCTTTGGCGTGCGAAGGCCATCATCCATTGAATTTGAAGCATACCGGTCAACATTCCGGTGAGAATCAAAACAAACTGCTTTGGGAAGTGAAGTAACTAATGTACGTGGGGATGAAAAATCAAGGGGGAAATCCGCAGACTCTTTGTTGGAATCGGGAGTGATAGGCCCTAGAGAAGCCCCTTTGTTACAAATCACTGTGGACGGTGGTTGCATCTCTTTGACATTCTTAGCTTTTACAATAACACAATTATCATCTGATTTATTCATGAACTTCAGAGAGTGATTTTCCTCTTTCATTAACAAATCTGTACTCGCTTCAATATCCATATCTCCAACAACGAAAACAAACAAACCGTCATAAAATATACAAAGCATAAATTAAGCACTATCAGCTAAATTAATTCTTCCAGTTTAAAAGAAGAATAGGGGAAAGCTTAAATACGTCATATTATGTCCCCAATTAAACCCTGCCAACCCAATGATTGAAAAGGAACCTTAAATTGAAAAACCCTAATTTTAGACGTTAGATTCAACTTCAAGAGAGACAAAGCAACCAAACCCTAATGAAAGGAAGTTATCAATATTGAGCGGATTAGTATGGAGCAAGAAGAATGACGAGTGAAAGAAACCCTAGCAGAAGCTACCACAAAAATATTGAAAATCTCAGAGTTCAACTAAGTACTGCAAAACCTTTAACACAACTCATATATAGATTTAATAAACATATATAAGTATAACCTACTTGCTTTTGGAGTGAGAGTTTGCTTGTGGGAAAGATACGGATGAGAAACAGCAGAGAGCGGCAGCGAGAGTGAAAGAGAAGTGCAGCGTCGTGGTGGATGTATACGAACCTGATAGGAAACTGGAACGTCTCTACCTTACGCGTACCTTAATGAATCCGAGTGTTGTGTGTTGGGACTTGGGATGGTTCGATGCCTTCGAGCTTACAAGTTACAACCTTGGATCTTTTTGTTTCCTGTGGAGCACCGCGTTTCAAATTAACAGATTGGATCAATTTTGACCATTCGTTTTCGAAAAATATTCAATGTGGGCCCATTAGGACCCAGCCCAGACAGGTATGGGGCCCACCATTCTTGTTTCTCGTGCCATACCCACAATTTTAGGGTTAAAAAATGCTCTATTTAGTTGGACATGTTTTCTAGAACGAAATCTTTCCAGTTACTATCAGTTACTATCGAATTGGAGGTAAAAAAAGCTGACTTTGAGTTGAATTCATATTTATCAGAATTCTTCTAATATAATCATACAGCTTCCCTATCTAACATATTTATTATTAAATAAATTAACATATCTATTATTTAATAAATTTGACTTTTATTTCATGGGTCTCAATTAGTTGAAATTTGAAAATCTCCAAAATACATAACAATAATCTTAAAAAAAAAAAAAGAAAGACCAAGGAAAACTACACAAAACAAAAAAAGAACTATAAGGAAATGATGCAGAACAGAAAAAGAACAATTTGAAAATGAATTCTTATTTCGGTTAAAAGGTAAATTTGTGAATCTTTCTCTTTGATACGTCCAATCCTTCAGCTTTTGATAAGATTTAGGGCCGATGATATATCAGTTAGAGGAAAGAACAAAACAATGAAGATGACTTAGCAAAACAATTTATTTCTTGATACTAAAAAGAAAAAGAAGTAAAAAATGTATTTTAATTTTAGTCAAAAAGTAAAGTTGAATTTTATAATATTATATTGTGTAAAATATAAATATTCACACATATGGTAAAACAAAGTGTAGGTGAGTAAGGTGTTTTTTTTTTTTTTGACTTGCTAACTTGATGCTAGGTAGGTGGGGTGCGTTAGATGCTGGTTGGATGACGTCCAATGAGAGAATAACAGTCGATAATTTTTTTTTCTATTTTCTCATTCCAGGAGTGTGGTAATATATCTAAATAGCATTTATTTGAATTATCTATTTTTTTTTTGGTTTCTGTGTAACTTCTAATTTATATCAAACAATTTAAAAGTGTCATTCAACATTTTAAAATAAATTCATACGAATTTGATAAAATTTCAAAGTCGTTCCACATCCCCAAGGATTACCGGCTACCTCTGGGAAGCCTTCTAGATGTATGAACTCGTCTGCTCTGACTTGCAAATCAGACTTCTGTGCAACATTCAACAAACACCCCTTCTCTGATATCTTCGACTATCAACTCAACACGATCTCATTCCTCTTCCGTTTGATTGAATTTTTTTAATTTGTTGAATTAGAAATCACTCGTTAATTCTTTATCACTTTCCAACATATTGGTAAATAAAGTTTGATCCAACTTTTATACCAATTACAAATCAATGGAACAAAAACGTGGGAAAAGTTTAAGTTATTCATTTGCACACCCCCTACAGAATATCCATTTGCACAAGAAGTAATTGGATGTTTTCGAAAAGTTTAAGTTATTCGGAGTAGAATAGTTAATAATTGACGCTCAGATCAAGTTGTTGGCTGTTACCTTATAAAATTATTGATCACTGTTAACGAGAAAAGTGGTACAGAACTTATTAAGAAGTTTTCCCTTGGTAAAGTATCTTTAAGGGGACTCAAAACTCGCATTGCTTGAAGATGACAGTAAGCACATGGCCATACCAATCCTCCCCTTAATTGGGCGTTTTAAATATTAGTATTGGATTGCACATGTTAGACTAAAAAATACATTTTATAACACCAGTGATCTTTAGGAATTTCTAGGACATGTTTTTTTATCGACCATCTTTCACTATATTTGAGTAAATTATGTTTTGGGTTTTTTTTTTTTTTTTTTTTTTTTTTTTTTTTTGAAATTTGGTGTATGTTTAGGTCGGTTTATCATGTGATATGTTTTAGGCTTTATTTTTTTCCTTTAGTAACAACATTAATTGTCATTTTTGTTATAGGAGTGTTTTCGGAAAGGACAATACTTAGTCTTCATTAACGAAGATTTACAACATACTCATTGCTGATGTGGATTAATACTAAATTGACACGTGATCTTTAATTACCAAATCAAATATGGTGAGAATTTATTTACTTACCAAATTATAGATAGTGATTTTGATTATCATATATGATTTAATAATTAAAGATCACATGTCAATTTATTATTGATTTACATTAACAGTGAGTATGTTGTACTAAAATACATTATCAATAGATTTGGGTAAAAAATAATCTGAAATGTTATAAACAATTTCAAACTATTATTAATAGTCCCCAACATGATTTGAGTCTAAATTTAAACCTTAGCATTTTGTTGTCCAAAGTTTTATAAAATAACAATTTTAACCCCTTCATATATAGAATACAATATAATATACTATTAGTATAACATAAAGACATATGATTGACTTTTCCTTTCCCAAACCTCAAACAAGTCCAATGTAATTTACGCAAACAAATAAAATACAGACATAGGTGGGTTTATCATGTGATATGTTTTAGACTTTATTTTTTTTCTTCAGTAACAACATTAATCGTCATTTTTGTTATAGGAGTGTTTTCGGAAATGATAATATTTAGGTTTCTATTAGTCAACTCATTGCTGATGTGGACTAATAATAAATTAATATGTGATTTTTAATTACTAAATCAAAGATGGTGGGAAGGTATTTACTTACCAAATTATAGATAGTGATTTTGATTACCATATATGATTTAATAATTAAAAATCACATGTCAATTTATCATTAGTTCACATCAACAATAAATATGTTGTACCAAAATACACTGTCAATAGATTTGGGTAAAAAATAATCTGAAATGTTTTGGACAATTCCAAACCATTATTAATAGTCTCAAACATGATATGAATCTAAATTTGAAGATCATAATACATTCTAAACAAGCCTTAACATTTTGTTATCCAAAATTTATAAAATAACAATTTTATCCTCCTTAATATATAGAATACAATATAATATATTATTAGGATAACATAAAGACAAATCACTAACTTTTCCTATCCCAAACCTCAAACAAGTCCAATGTAATTTACGCAAACAAATAAAATACAGACATAGTGGTTGTCAAGTATGAGTTAGTATGGGTTACCCATTCAAGTCATCCATATTTATTGTTCCAGAATGGTAAGCTGAGCACGCGCAAATTAGGTCCAAAGAATCTTCTTTTGTTAAAACAGCGTAAAGCAGTAAAGACTGGTATACACGAAAAGAGAGAGAAATAGTCATTGGTTGGCTTTCTAGTGCGTATACGCGGTAATACTAACCATAATTGTATGGTATTTGTCTGAATCTAATACCAATACTATATACAACACTGTACACCTTAAAATGCAATGCGCGTTGTTCTCTACCTATAAATATATATAGTAACTAACATAATCACACATCCTAATGTAGTCTAAATCTCTCTCCTCTCCCATCCACATACAGGTGTTGTATTATATATCATTGAAATTCAGGCATCCCCAAAAATATCGTTACCTTCATTTTCTATTCAGTTTTTGACCAATCCATCCATCTTCTCTGGTGCGCTCTTCTTTCTGATTCTGATTCTGAGTATCAATGGAAGCGGTTGCTAATGGTAGTGTCACCACAAATGGGCCCAAACGGAGCCTTAACAGGAGGACCTCCACCGTCTCCTCCTCCTTCCGCCTCCGCTGCCCTAGTCTCAATTCCCTTCGTCTCCGTCGCATTTTTGATCTATTCGACAAAAATAATGACGGTATGATCACCGTTGACGAGCTCTCTCAAGCTCTCAACCTTCTCGGATTGGAAGCCGATCTAAAAGAGTTGGATTTCATGGTCAAATCCTTTATAAAACCAGGCAACATGGGGCTTAGATTTGAAGACTTTGAAGCCCTTCATCAATCCTTGAATGACACCTTCTTTGGTTTCGGCGACGACGAGGATGTTGACTTGTTGGTAAATAATGATCAGGAACAGTGTAACGGCGGAGGAAAAGTTGTGTCGCAGGAGGAGTCAGATCTGTCGGAGGCGTTCAAGGTGTTTGATGAAGATGGTGATGGGTACATTTCGGCCAGGGAGTTGCAAGTAGTGCTTGGGAAACTGGGATTGCCGGAAGGGAAAGAGTTTGACAGAGTTGAGAAGATGATCACATCCGTTGACCGCAATCAGGATGGTCGTGTTGATTTCTTCGAGTTCAAGGACATGATGCGTAGTGTTATCGTCCGCACCGCTTGATTACCATCAATTCAACCGTATTCTCTCTCCTTGTATGTGATTGTTGTTATATACAATGATGGACATTTGTAATATTGTCTTGCTCTCCTCCTTAATTACTTCTGTTACCTTTCTGATTGAAGGTGTCTACCTCTTGTTTTATAACATCTAGAACTTTCAGGCTTCTTTCATATGCATGCTTCAATTTTATGGATTGGTATTGATTGACTTGATTACTCATGAATCTCTCTCCATATATATATATATATATATATATATATTCTAGACAAATGTAATAATCGAATTGGAATCTTTTCACTCATTTACTTGTCTCATGACAAGTGTAATCACCAGAAATCAATTCTTCACGATTAAGGTCTTAGTAGGATCAAGTAAATAAGTTACATAACTCTGTATGGATTGGTATTAGAATTGGTAAGAATTGATTATGCATGCTTCAATATTATGGATTGGTATTGATTGACTTGATTACTCATGAATCTCTCTCCATATATATTTATATATATATATTCTAGACATATGTAATAATCGAATTGGAATCTTTTCACTCATTTACTTGTCTCATGACAAGTGTAATCACCAGAAATCAATTCTTCACAATTAAGGTCTTAGTAGGATCAAGTAAATAAGTTACATAACTCTGTATGGATTGGCTTTGACATGACCTTAGAATTGGTAAGAACGTGCAAGTCCTGTATACGAATCCTATATCTCCTGGTATTTTGATTAGTCCAGTATTTTACCTTCGTGATTGTGTTGTTTAGATGTGAATTTTCGATGGATAAGCAAAATCCAGAATATATTTAGGCTGTAAAATCTATCTATATATATATATCATCATTAATTTGTTCACTCTATATCATCCAGTATGAAGGCAGTTACATATACATATATATTTAGTCTTCCTTCTGGTTTGGGCGATCTTATTCGTAACCTAAAGTCAATAAGCTACCGGAAGAAAATTTGACTTTTGAGATAAATTGCATCTTACGGAGAAAGTGCCCTGAGTTACATCAGCTCAAATATGGAATGGACTGGATCAACTTGAATGCATTGAAGTGAAATTCATTTAGACTCTACCGGAACCTTGTTTAGGCTTTTCTTTTAGGAAAAATTACATATAAATGGAGTCAAAGTTTCATATTTACTTAGAGACTGAGTCAAAGTTCCATATTTCTCTAAAATGGATTGCTGAGGTGGCACATAGTTTTTTACTGTTTAAAAAATTGTGGTGCCTAAAATGCCCTTCCCTAACAAAAAAGTAGTACCTTCAGTTCAAAAAAGTAGTACCTTCGGAGAAAAAGTAGTACCTTCGCGGTGTTTAAAAAACATGGTACCTGGACGCCAAAAAGTAGTACCTTCAGTTCAAAAAAGTAGTACCTTCGAAGAAAAAATAGTACCTTCGCGGAAGGGTATTTTAGGCACCACAATTTCTAAACAGTAAAAAACCATGTGCCACTTCAGCAATCCATTTTAGAGAAATATAAAACTTTGACTCAGCCTCTAAGTAAATATGGAACTTTAACTCCATTTATATGTAATTTTCCTTTTCTTTTACCTCATCCTTCTCTTTGTCAATGTAGAAGGATAGCCCGAAAATTGTGCGTTAAGTGTTTTATTGTTAATAAAAAAATTAAAATTCCTTACACGCCAGTCTTAACAGCTTGATTAGAATGAAAAAGTCATTATAATATTTGTGAGTGACTTGAATGGGATAATATTTTGTAGTGGACTTTTCTATTCTAGTGAAGCTGATAGACTGGCGTGTGTAAAGAATTTTATTTTTGTATTCAAGTCATATATATATATATATATATATATATATATATAGAGAGAGAGAGAGAGAGAGAGAGAGAGAGGGAGGGGGTTATGAGATCTAAATATTAGGCCCTGTTTGGTTTATGTAGTGTAGTGTTGTTTCCTACAGTGCTACAGTATCCATTTTCAGAACACATGTTGTTTGGCCTGTTTGTTGCGTTCTCAACAATAGTGGAACACTTTCAGAACAAATCTAATATTTAGCCCAAAAACTAGAATAACAATTTGGTGTTCTATGTTGTTCCAGAGTAGACACGTTGTAATTCTTGTTTGTATGGGTTTTGATTGTGTGTATGGGTTTTGTTTTAGATTGTGTGTATGGGTTTTGTTTTAATTTGTTTTCGGATTGTGTGTATGGGTCCGCTGTTCCAATCTGGTTCGCCGTTCGCAAGTTTTGTAATTCTTATTTGTATGGGTTTTGTTTGTGCATATGTGAAGTTGAAAACCCATATCGGCAAATCATTTCAACCTCCCAGACGCCTCCATCTCTATTCTCTCTCTCTCTCTCTCTCTCTCTCTGCGCGCAACTGCAAACTTGTATGGGTTTTGTTTTAATTTTTTTAGGGCAAATCATTTCAGCCTCCCAAACGCCTCCATCTATATTCTCGTTCTCAACTCTGCAAATCCATTTTTAGGGCAAATCGGTTCAGCCTCCCAATTGCCCTAGTCTCTCTCTCTCTCTCTCCAACTGCAATTTTGTGTGTATGGGTTTTGTTTTAATTTTTTTTCCTAAATCAACTAATCAAGCTTGTAATTCTTTTGCAAACTAATCAAGCTCTGTAATTAATTTATTTTAATCATAAAATAATAATAATAATAATTTCTATTCTAAAATTCTTACTCCAAATTTTCTTCCCAAACATATTTTGTTCTCGTTTCAGAACACTACATCACAAAACACTTATTCTGTTCTAGACTAGAGCATTATACTACACCACACAATATTTTCCAAACGGGCTCTTAAGGATAATTTTTTATTTTTTAAAAATTTAAAATCCAAAGAATAGTAAAAACAAAACAGTTAGCAAATGACTTAGAAAGCTCCAAATCAAGAAGCGAAAGATTTGTAAAGATAATTTTATTAAAAATAATGAGTGCATGATAAGAGCCTAAGGACAAGAGTTTGACGTCCATTGATTAAAGAGGGTAAAGTTGCAACAATTAATAAATAGAAGTTGTTTATTGTCACAAAAAATAAAAAATAAAAAATAAAAATAAATAAAAATTATCGTGCAACCCTTTAAAACTAAAGATGATTTAATGCACTAAGGCCTAAATTATATGTCTACATTTGTGATTAGACATATTAGAGTTGTAGGTGAATAATTAAGTATTGTAGTTGATAAAATTACAATAAAATGCATGCGTTGCAAACCAACCAAGAAATCCTTACACCCGAGCTCTTAATTAATTAATTAATTTAAACTCACTAATAAGGCTTCCGGTGTTAAAAATTTTGGATGCAAGGAGTCTTTCCTTGTAAAAGAAGTTGACTGTTGACATGCTGTTTCAACTTTAAACTGTGTTCCCCGCGATCAAGATCTAGATTATCATCATTCTATATTGCATTTTCGTTACCGGCCCATGTGCTTTTGATGATTTCTTTAAACTGTGGTCCCCACAAGCAAGATCACCTCTCTTTTCAAATAGAAGAGGTTATACTGGTCTTCGAATCCAAGTTAATCTTTAATTTTTGGGTATATTGCATTGACACCCTTGAAGTTTCGGTCAATGCTATTTAGTTGTTGGTCAACGAATTTTTTTACATTGACACCCCTCTCATTTAAAATATCATAAATGCCCCTAAATTTTTAATTCAATTTTATTCACCAAATACCAACCCATGAAATGACCAAACTAGCCATCCCTATGTTGCAAAATGTTTAACCCTAAAATAAACTAACCCTTAATTAGAGAGATGATGAGAGATAATTAACAAGCTCTAGAGTCGCCACCACAACCCACCTCCGCCACGGCCACCGTAACCACCACCACCTCCACCCCTTCTTTCTCTCTTTTTCCCCACATCATCACATTCCATTCCGTAGGTATCAAAGAGGCAAAAATCATATGTTACAAATTGATTTTGACTGGTTCACTCAAATTCCATTCTAATTTATAATGGAAACATCTGAATCCAATTCCTCCAACAATAAGTTACCTCCAATTCGAATTTCATACAGACGCCATTGATAGACCTGTTGGAGTACTCCTCTGTTCTTCTCCGAATAAGTTTGATTTCGACTACTTCTCTTGAAACAGAGGCATTGATTAACAACCATACTTCAATGTCAGTTGCTTTGCCGAAGGAATTCCATGATTGTGGTGGTCCTGACACCTCCATCACAACCGCCACGGCTGCAACCACTCATTGGTTCATGCTACTTCTCCGTCGTATGTCGTCGCTCATCGCCAATTCCACTCTGCCCAATCCGGAAGAGCCCAACAAGGGTAACAAACCAACAACCTAGTTGGTGCCTCCAGAGGAGGATTGCAGTGATCGACGGGCGATCAGAGAACACCACTATATGTTTCGCCTTACCTATATCGATCTGGATTTTCAACACCACCTCAGGAACCAGCGGGTGATAATCCGGTGTGGCCGGCGTGTGTATGATCCATGAGCACACGTGTATATATATATATATATATATATATATTGGCTTAATGTACTCCGTATTATATAGTTCACCTTCCAGACTTAAACCTGCAATTATTATTGCTCACCTTTCAGACTTAGACTTACAATTATTCGTCAATACAAATCCACACGCATATGTGTATAGATATATATATGCATATATTTATATACATACATAAGAAGGAGCAGATGAAAGAAAAGGTGGTGGCGGTGACGGCGGCGGCATTATGGGTAGGAGCTTGATGTAATGAGGTTACTTTGATCTATTTTTATTTCTTGGAGTAAGTGCAGAAAATACCCCTCATTTATATTCCACTTTTATTCCCTATTTAAAAAAGTGCGCAATAAACACCACTAATCTTTTGAAATTGTACAAAATTATCCATCCATAAAAATTCTGACATAAATTATTGTTGTAATACCCATTTTGCCTTTTTAATATACCTAAAAATACCCATTCTCCTATCTCTGTTTTATGTGATTTAGTCTTTTGAAAAAGAACTCTAGGTTAGGTAAGAAAAAGAGGAAAGATACAAGACGAAAAATAGAGCATAAGAGGCTCGTTGAGACCTCAGCCAACAAAGAGAAAAGATCGGACGGAATGGTTGGGTTGAAATGCAGCAGACCCGGAACCTTTGTCTTAGCCTAGAGATTGCGGTAGTGCCCGGTGAGACGGATCTGGCGTTGGCGACTGCGGCTTATGCACGCCGA